TCAATTAAAAATCGTATATACGATATGATTGGTCGTCATATTGTCATATTTCCGATGTGAAGGAAAAGGGAAAAAAATATTTTTAATTTCTTCGATATCTTTGTGATGATGTGTGGCTGAATAGTTACGGGATCTAGCTTCACTAAATGTGATATTTTCATAGGGTTGAGTTTGATTCCAACGCTTCTCCTTTGATTCCAACAATTCTCCTTCAGGGCCTACAAGCCCGGTTCCATTAGTAAACTTTTTCCAAGAGACTCAGCGTTCGCAAAATTTCATTTCATCGCAAAATTCAAAAAAACACTGTCTAAAAAATTTGAAAAAATTCCAGTAGTAAAGTTTCTGGGAAAATTTTTTCTTAAAATTATTTAGACTAGTAGCCATGACTGTTAACTTTAAAAAAGTGGCAGGAACCGATCAGTAGGCTCGACCGAGAACGTTTACAGGGTCAAATTTCGAGTATACTCAAATCCATGGGTTTTGATGAGATAAAGCGCGATGGAAGCTTGTTTGGCCGGCAAATCTTTTCTTGTTATGGCATAAAATGAACTAGGACTCATGCCCTATAATCTCAGAAAAATTCAACTTTCTACCAAATAAATGGAAAAAGTTAGGACTAAAAGATGCAAGTACCCTCTGAGGAAGTTCGCAAGTCAAGTGACACATTATTCAGAAGGAAAATTTTTTCTGAACGAGATTTTTCCGAATTGTCAAAATGACAGATATTGAACCACGAAATCTGCTCTTTCTTATCCGTTTGTTACGGATTCCCAACACCGTTTTTCTGAAATGATATGGGCTGTTATTTGCGAATCGGTAAAAATTACCTTATTTTCATGAAACCTGAGGTTAAAATGAATAAAAACTAAAATCTACGGGAAATACTTCAGGGTGTTTTACAGCCTTGTATCCATGGCTACTTTTGGCATAGGGGGATAATAAAGGCCTAGCGGCGGATTAAGACGCCGAAGTGGGATAAAAGCTCTAAAATGAGCTAAAATAATAATGGCCTTGCGGCGGATTAAGACGCCGAAGTGGGATAAAAGCTCTAAAATGAGCTAAAATATAATAAAGGCCTTGCGGCGGATTAAGACGCCGAAGTGGGATAAAAGCTCTAAAATGAGTTAAAATAATAATGGCCTTGCGGCAGATTAAGACGCCGAAGTGGGATAAAAGCTCTAAAATGAGCTAAAATATAATAAAGGCCTTGCGGCGGATTAAGACGCCGAAGTGGGATAAAAGCTCTAAAATGAGCTAAAATAATAATGGCCTTGCGGCGGATTAAGACGCCGAAGTGGGATAAAAGCTCTAAAATGAGCTAAAATAATAATGGCCTTGCGGCGGATTAAGACGCCGAAGTGGGATAAAAGCTCTAAAATGAGCTAAAATAATAATGGCCTTGCGGCGGATTAAGACGCCGAAGTGGGATAAAAGCTCTAAAATGAGCTAAAATAATAATGGCCTTGCGGCGGATTAAGCGCCGAAGTGGGATAAAAGCTCTAAAATGAGCTAAAATATAATAAAGGCCTTGCGGCGGATTAAGACGCCGAAGTGGGATAAAAGCTCTAAAATGAGTTAAAATAATAATGGCCTTGCGGCAGATTAAGACGCCGAAGTGGGATAAAAGCTCTAAAATGAGCTAAAATATAATAAAGGCCTTGCGGCGGATTAAGACGCCGAAGTGGGATAAAAGCTCTAAAATGAGCTAAAATAATAATGGCCTTGCGGCGGATTAAGACGCCGAAGTGGGATAAAAGCTCTAAAATGAGCTAAAATAATAATGGCCTTGCGGCGGATTAAGACGCCGAAGTGGGATAAAAGCTCTAAAATGAGCTAAAATATAATAAAGGCCTTGCGGCGGATTAAGACGCCGAAGTGGGATAAAAGCTCTAAAATGAGTTAAAATAATAATGGCCTTGCGGCAGATTAAGACGCCGAAGTGGGATAAAAGCTCTAAAATGAGCTAAAATATAATAAAGGCCTTGCGGCGGATTAAGACGCCGAAGTGGGATAAAAGCTCTAAAATGAGCTAAAATAATAATGGCCTTGCGGCGGATTAAGACGCCGAAGTGGGATAAAAGCTCTAAAATGAGCTAAAATAATAATGGCCTTGCGGCGGATTAAGACGCCGAAGTGGGATAAAAGCTCTAAAATGAGCTAAAATAATAATGGCCTTGCGGCGGATTAAGACGCCGAAGTGGGATAAAAGCTCTAAAATGAGCTAAAATAATAATGGCCTTGCGGCGGATTAAGCGCCGAAGTGGGATAAAAGCTCTAAAATGAGCTAAAATAATAATGGCCTTGCGGCGGATTAAGACGCCGAAGTGGGATAAAAGCTCTAAAATGAGCTAAAATAATAATGGCCTTGCGGCGGATTAAGACGCCGAAGTGGGATAAAAGCTCTAAAATGAGCTAAAATAATAATGGCCTTGCGGCGGATTAAGACGCCGAAGTGGGATAAAAGCTCTAAAATGAGCTAAAATAATAATGGCCTTGCGGCGGATTAAGACGCCGAAGTGGGATAAAAGCTCTAAAATGAGCTAAAATAATAATGGCCTTGCGGCGGATTAAGACGCCGAAGTGGGATAAAAGCTCTAAAATGAGCTAAAATAATAATGGCCTTGCGGCGGATTAAGACGCCGAAGTGGGATAAAAGCTCTAAAATGAGCTAAAATAATAATGGCCTTGCGGCGGATTAAGACGCCGAAGTGGGATAAAAGCTCTAAAATGAGCTAAAATAATAATGGCCTTGCGGCGGATTAAGACGCCGAAGTGGGATAAAAGCTCTAAAATGAGCTAAAATAATAATGGCCTTGCGGCGGATTAAGACGCCGAAGTGGGATAAAAGCTCTAAAATGAGCTAAAATAATAATGGCCTTGCGGCGGATTAAGACGCCGAAGTGGGATAAAAGCTCTAAAATGAGCTAAAATAATAATGGCCTTGCGGCGGATTAAGACGCCGAAGTGGGATAAAAGCTCTAAAATGAGCTAAAATATAATAAAGGCCTTGCGGCGGATTAAGACGCCGAAGTGGGATAAAAGCTCTAAAATGAGCTAAAATATAATAAAGGCCTTGCGGCGGATTAAGACGCCGAAGTGGGATAAAAGCTCTAAAATGAGCTAAAATAATAATGGCCTTGCGGCGGATTAAGACGCCGAAGTGGGATAAAAGCTCTAAAATGAGCTAAAATAATAATGGCCTTGCGGCGGATTAAGACGCCGAAGTGTGATAAAAGCTCTAAAATGAGCTAAAATAATAATGGCCTTGCGGCGGATTAAGACGCCGAAGTGGGATAAAAGCTCTAAAATGAGCCTACTATGTTATTTCAACCTTACAATTTTCCTTCCACCCTCTACTATGTCCCACTTCGGCGTCTTAATCCGCCGCAAGGCCATTATTATTTTAGCTCATTTTAGAGCTTTTATCCCACTTCGGCGTCTTAATCCGCCGCAAGGCCATTATTATTTTAGCTCATTTTAGAGCTTTTATCCCACTTCGGCGTCTTAATCCGCCGCAAGGCCTTTATTATATTTTAGCTCATTTTAGAGCTTTTATCCCACTTCGGCGTCTTAATCCGCCGCAAGGCCATTATTATTTTAACTCATTTTAGAGCTTTTATCCCACTTCGGCGTCTTAATCCGCCGCAAGGCCATTATTATTTTAGCTCATTTTAGAGCTTTTATCCCACTTCGGCGTCTTAATCCGCCGCAAGGCCATTATTATTTTAGCTCATTTTAGAGCTTTTATCCCACTTCGGCGTCTTAATCCGCCGCAAGGCCATTATTATTTTAGCTCATTTTAGAGCTTTTATCCCTCTTCGGCGTCTTAATCCGCCGCAAGGCCATTATTATTTTAGCTCATTTTAGAGCTTTTATCCCACTTCGGCGTCTTAATCCGCCGCAAGGCCTTTATTATATTTTAGCTCATTTTAGAGCTTTTATCCCACTTCGGCGTCTTAATCCGCCGCAAGGCCTTTATTATATTTTAGCTCATTTTAGAGCTTTTATCCCACTTCGGCGTCTTAATCCGCCGCAAGGCCATTATTATTTTAGCTCATTTTAGAGCTTTTATCCCACTTCGGCGTCTTAATCCGCCGCAAGGCCATTATTATTTTAGCTCATTTTAGAGCTTTTATCCCACTTCGGCGTCTTAATCCGCCGCAAGGCCATTATTATTTTAGCTCATTTTAGAGCTTTTATCCCACTTCGGCGTCTTAATCCGCCGCAAGGCCATTATTATTTTAGCTCATTTTAGAGCTTTTATCCCACTTCGGCGTCTTAATCCGCCGCAAGGCCATTATTATTTTAGCTCATTTTAGAGCTTTTATCCCACTTCGGCGTCTTAATCCGCCACGCCATTATTATTTTAGCTCATTTTAGAGCTTTTATCCCACTTCGGCGTCTTAATCCGCCGCAAGGCCATTATTATTTTAGCTCATTTTAGAGCTTTTATCCCACTTCGGCGTCTTAATCCGCCGCAAGGCCATTATTATTTTAGCTCATTTTAGAGCTTTTATCCCACTTCGGCGTCTTAATCCGCCGCAAGGCCTTTATTATATTTTAGCTCATTTTAGAGCTTTTATCCCACTTCGGCGTCTTAATCCGCCGCAAGGCCATTATTATTTTAGCTCATTTTAGAGCTTTTATCCCACTTCGGCGTCTTAATCCGCCGCAAGGCCTTTATTATATTTTAGCTCATTTTAGAGCTTTTATCCCACTTCGGCGTCTTAATCCGCCGCAAGGCCATTATTATTTTAGCTCATTTTAGAGCTTTTATCCCACTTCGGCGTCTTAATCCGCCGCAAGGCCTTTATTATATTTTAGCTCATTTTAGAGCTTTTATCCCACTTCGGCGTCTTAATCCGCCGCAAGGCCATTATTATTTTAGCTCATTTTAGAGCTTTTATCCCACTTCGGCGTCTTAATCTTCTATATGTTCCCTTCCACCTACTATGTATGTTCCCTTCCACCTACTAAGTATGTTCCCTTCCACCTACTAAGTATGTTCCCTTCCGCCTACTATGTTCTCTTCAGCCTACTTGGAATGTCACTTCAGACTACACCTGATTTTTCCATTAGAATTTGATAAAGCTTTTGCCCCTACCATGTTACTTCCACCCTACTATGTTCATTCCACCCTACCATGTTCCTTCCACCCTACTATGTTCCTTCCACCCTACCATGTTCCTTCCACCCTACTATGTTCCTTTCCACCCTACCATGTTCCTTCCACCCTACTATGTTCCTTCCACACTACTATGTTCCTTCCACCCTACCATGTTCCTTCCACCCTACTATGTTATTTCAACCTTACAATTTTCCTTCCACCCTACTATGTTCCTTCCACCTTACTATGTTCTTTCCACCCTACTATGTTCCTTCCACCCTACTATGTTATTTCAACCTTACAATTTTCCTTCCACCCTACTACTATGTTCCTTCCACCTTACTATGTTCCTTCCACCCTACTATGTTCCTTACAGCCTATCAGTAGGCTGGGAGGCATTCTTGTCCGATTCCAGAGTCATCACACTTTTCTTATTTTCTTAAATTTATAATCCAATTCATTCACATACCTGTGGTACTTACTTCTTGGTCCTTTCTAAATCCCTTTTTTTTCAGCAGTTAAACGAATTCTTCGGCCCAGTATCCTTATCCTCAGCAGGTGTTTTAGTCCTTTCACAACAACAACATTCTTCAATTATTCATCAACATCATGGAGATAATACTGGACAAGATACCCTCAATCATGCTCTTTTACTCCAACAACAAAACAAAGCCAACAAAGCTTTTCGGCCCGAAGGGCCGAAGGCGGCGTAGGGTGCCGTTACGAAGAAAACAACAACAATTAAACTTCCCAACAACAAGAAAAACAACAAAATAATCAAAACAATAAATTAAAACAAAACAATACATATTAACAAATCATCTAATTCTCCATCTTTTTCTGTAGGCCAAATGTTTGGAACTTCAAATTTCCGAAAATATCCATCTTTTGGTGTGTATGTTTCAAAAGCTCAGAAAAGACTAGACTAAAGCTTTAACCCAAAACAAAAACCGAAAACATTAAAAAGTCTCGAGTAATTTGCTATAAAATTAATTAGATTAAGTCCGGGACGCTCTATTATTTTTCCAAAAATTTATAACTATTTGAAAAAAAATTTAAATAAAAAAATTGGCTTTACTATAGTATATGTAGGTCTATCAAGATCGGAACTTAAAATATATTCCATTCGATTCGTCTCGCCGAGCTTAGTTCGAATATGAGAATTTTCTCCGGGTGACGAAAACTCGCAGAGATATAAGACCCCGAATATCGAAAAACCGTCAATTATCTGTAAAAATTTCAGTTAAACGTATCAAGCCAAAATTGTCGGGAGTCGGGATTTCCCGACAAATGGTTTGGAAGAAAGGAGGAGGAGTCGTGGCACCAGCTAGTGAAGTGTGGCACTAGCACCAGACTGTGTTGGTAGTGCCAACACAGTCGAAGGAAGAAGAAGGGCAGTTGAGTGACTCGGAGCACGAGTCACTTTAGCCAAGAATAGCAGTGGTGAACCTTAGTGCGGTTCACCAAGGAAGCAGAAGTGAACGGAGCACGTTCACTTTTAGTACGCCAACAAACAAAGCACGGCCAACAAAAAATATTTATTTTCCAACCAAAAAAAATAAACAATTGAACAAATGAAGCGAAGAGGGCTAACCAGTGGGCAATGGCAGTTAAAGCCAAAGAGCAGACCACTGGCAGCAGTAGATCAGCACTTGAAGGAGCAGTTAATGATGTGAAGTGAGATAATTTGGGAGGCTGATCTCCTGCTTAAATAGACCCAGATAAAGGCGGGGTTTGGCAATAAATTAATTTAAAAATGTAAGTTTGAAAAAAATGCGCGAAGTAGCTAGAGAAAATAAAACTGAGAGAAGACTCGGCAAGAGAAGCCAAGTCAAAAAACAAAAGGAAGAATAAGTAAGAGAAAAGAGGGTGGCTGGTACGAACGGACACAAAAAATAAAGAAAGGAATTTAGGCGGGAAAACAATTCAAAAATAAAGAGTGGACGACACAAAAATTAACGGTGAACGAGCAAAAAATTAACCAAAAGTGAATGGTTAAAAAATTGGCCAAAAGTCGCTAATGTTTGGCGACACTCCCCCCGCCCAACAAAAATCACAAAAATTCTTCATCATCATCGGCTTCTTTCATCTGCCATATTCGGAAGTTCATCATCGGCTTTTCCTTTCATCTTCCAGATTCGAGTCATAGCAAGTGGTGAACCACGGGCTGCATCCATGTCACAACACGTTGCATGGTTGCATGGTGTGATCCAGAGCAGTGATGATTGTGGTGGAGTGCCCTTTCGTGATTTCCCCTTTTGAAAGCTTTTGGTGAGAGGCGGCACTCCACTACCTGGCTTCCTCGTTGTCGTCCAGGTCGTTGTCGAATTGAACATAGCTTGGTTAACACACAAAAATTTGCCTGCGTTAGAAAAGCTCGTAGACGTTTGATCTGTAGCAGCTACGGAGGTTCCATCCATTGATGTCATTGTTGATCGCCTTTGAAGAACTGGAGGTTGGGGTCGCTTTAGTATAGGTCCACCGAGATCGGAACTCATAATAAATACCATTCGATTCGTCTCGCCGAGCTGAGTTCAAATATGCAAGAATTTTCTGCGGGACGCGAAAACTCGCAAAGATACAGGCACTTGAAAATCGAAAAACCATAGGGGGGACCAAGCTCGATTTTGGGGTGAAAAATTCTAATATGCAAATTATACCTCATTCGAAAGAGCTCGTCGCGCTGAGTCGAATGACACCAAAATCACCTTGATTGAACAAGATTAGACAAAGTTATGATACAAAAAACAAAATACCTAAACCTATGGAGCGTCGGCGAGGCGCTTGTGCAAAACTCCGCGCTTCGCGCGGAGTTTTGCGGCACGCGCCTCGCGGGGAGTCTACGGGCGCTGGGTCTGGGCTCGTAACATAAACCTATTCCTATCTCTCTTGCTCTGGACGTATTTGGGGCCTCCGAAGCAGCAAAAATCTCCACAGATGCCATAGGTAAGGAGCTAAAACAAACGGTCATAACTTTGTCAAATCAAGTCGGATTTCGTTGACTTTGGTGTCATTCGACTCAACTCGACGAGCTCTTTCAAATGAGGTATAATTTGCATATTCGAATTTTTCACCCCAAAATCGAGCTTGGTCCCCCCTATGGTTTTTCGATTTTCAAGTGCCTGTATCTTTGCGAGTTTTCGCGTCCCGCAGAAAATTCTTGCATATTTGAACTCAGCTCGGCGAGACGAATCGAATGGTATATATTATGAGTTCCGATCTCGGTGGACCTATACTAAAGTACAGCCTGGAGGTTTACGCCAGCAAGCAATACCAACAAGAGATAGAACGGACAGCATCAACAAAAAATGCATTGATGAGCATATAAAGGGGGCAGATGAGCCAGCGTGTATTTCGTTGATGAGCCATGAGCACGTGAGGACGGCCAACACACAATCAAATCTTAGCACTTGTTTAAGCAGATGACGACACCACTCGTGAACAGAACGTATTTTCCATTTGACTTTGCCTGTAGGACGGTTAGAACCAATCATTGAACTAGATTGGAGTTTTGTTGTAGTTTCTTTTTTAACCATAACATTCTTCAATGTCGAACACACACGTTTGGAACTGTTGGAGCTGTTGGTTCTCGAAGCCACTAGACCGTTTTTAGAGTTGGGCTGGTTGCTTTTAAGCTTTGAGTTGATCCGGACTTTGCGTCGACGATGGCGTTCGTTTGCCTTGTAGTGCACAGTTGAGTTGGTTAACGCCTTGGTGTCCGCTTGTGAGTTGATGAGGCTAGAGCTATTGATGACCATTCCAGAGTAGGTCACTTCAGGTTGGACTGGTGTAGGCACTCTCCAATTCGCTTCAGACATTTCTTCGTCGTGGCCAGATTTGTAGTACACACGCTTTTTTAGTTGTGGTTGTCTCCAGTTTGCTACTGACGGTCTATCGCGGTGACTTGCATTGTAATACACACGCTTTTTAGGATGACGTTGTACACATAGCATGAAGTGGTGTCTGCCTCCACATCTACGGCATTTGTTGGCAGCACGACATTTGTTGAGCATGTGACCATCGTATAAGCAGTTGAGGCAACGTCCTTGTTCAAGAAGACGGGCTTTGCGTCTGTTGCGGGAGTTGAACATCGGACATCGGCTTGGCTTGTGTGTTGGTCCAGTGTGGCAAAGTGAACAACCATATTCCTCAACTGGTGATTGTGGTGGACGAGCATATAGTGTTCCTCAAGTTGCTGTAATGATTGAGTGGTCATAAAAGAATTTCCAGTTCGTTGGGAAGAGACGGAACCACGACCGCCATTTCTTCGTTGTTGCAGGCATACATTGACCAAATCCACCAATTCATAGGCATGTTCAATTTGTGCTAACGCGGTTGGTTCATCATCCTCTCTGATTTCGCCTCTAGGCGGCGGAAAGGCTTGAAGGATGTCCATTTCGTCTTGTTGTTCAGTTGGCATGAGTCGAGCAATCATATCAGACCATTTGTCCACTAGTACTTGGGCCCGACCAGCGGCTTCTCTAAGTTGGACAGCATCTGCCTCCAAACGATCGTTTTCATCCACAGTGGTGTCAGTGGCATTCAGCGCGGTGAGAACTGCACGGCCTTTTACTTTAAGCGTTGCCAAAACGGTGGCCAGTTGTAACCGGATGAATGCTGACATTGTGACGGCTGTTGTTCAGCTCAATTCACAAAGAGTAGTTGTAGTTGTGGTGGCTGTTGTTCAGCTCAACCAAAAAAGGAACGGATAGTTGAAGTTGTTGTGGCGGTGGCTCCGCTCACACACAAGGTTGAAGTAGTTGGTGTAGTAGTGTTGTGGTGGTGGCTGTAGTGCAGCTCACACACAAAAAATAGAGTGGTTGTTGTAGAGTGATGTGGCGGTGGCTCCGCTCACACACTAGTTGATGTTGTTGTAGTGGTGGTTGTTGTAGTGGCTGTTGTTGTTGAAGCAGTAGTAGTAGTTGTTGTAGTAGTGTTGTAGTGGTGGCTGTTGTTCAACTCAGACACAAAAAATAGAGTGGTTGTTGTAGTGTTGTGGCGGTTGCTCCGCTCACACACAAAAAATAGAGTGGTTGTTGTAGTGATGTGGCGGTGGTTCCGCTCACGCACTAGTAGTTGAAGTTGTTGGTGTAGTTGTTGTGGTGGTGGCTGTAGTGCAGCTCACGCACGAGTAGTTGTAGTGTTGTTGGCTTTCGCTCAGCTCAACCAAAAGGAGTTGGAGTGGTTGTGGTGGTGGTTGTTGTTGTGGCTGTCGCTCAGCTCACACACCACTAGAGTTGTAGTAGTTGAAGTTGGTGGCTGTTGCTCAGCTCAACCAAAAGGAGTTGGAGTGGTTGTGGTGGTGGTTGTTGTTGTGGCTGTCGCTCAGCTCACACACCACTAGAGTTGTAGTAGTTGAAGTTGGTGGCTGTTGCTCAGCTCAACCAAAAGGAGTTGTTGTCGTGGCTGTTGCTCAGCGCACTTCAGCAGTAGAGGTTGTTGTTGTGGCGGTAGCTCCGCTCACAAACACACACAAAAATAGTGGTTGTAGTAGCTGTTGTTGTTGTTGTGGTTGTAGTGGTGAGTGTTGTCGTTGTCCCCGTCTTCCCGGGTCGTGGCACCACTTTGTCGGGAGTCGGG